AACGACGAAGTTGACGACGACGACGACGGCGAAGCCAAGGACGACGACACAAACGACGATGACGACGACGACGACGATAACGACGACGCAAGCGACGACACAAACGCCGATGGCTCGATGACAATAAAGGCACAACGACGATGACGACGACAACGCAAGCGACGTCTCAAACGATGACGACGACAACGACAACGACGACACAACCGACGACAACGACGACGACGCAAGCGACAACACAAACGATGACGACGACGACAATGACGCAAGCAACGACACAAACGTCGACGACGAAGCAATCGACGACACAAACGACGACGATGACGACGCAAACGACGACGATGATGACGACGACACAAAAGACGACGAAGACGACACAACCGACGACGACGCAAGCGACGACGCAACCGACGACGACGACGACGACGACGACAAAAAACGACAAAGACACAAACGACGACAAAATCGACGACCATCATCATCAGCATCATCATCATCACCACCACCATCATCATCATCATCATCATCATCATCAACATCATCAGCATCAGCATCATCATCATCATCATCATCAGCGTCATCGTCAGCATCATCATCATCACCACCACCACCATCATCATCATCATCATCATCATCATCAGCATCATCATCATCATCATCATCATCATCATCACCATGACCATCACCATCACCATCACCAGCATCAACATCATGATCATGATCATCATCATCATCACCATCATGATCATCAGCACCATCATCAGCATCATCAACATCAGCATCAGCTTCATCCTCAGTATCATCATCATCAGCATCAGCAGCATCATCATCATCAACATCGTCATCATCAGCATCAACATCAGCATCAACATTATCATCATCGTCATCATGTTCATCATCACCATCATCATCATCATCAGCATCATCATCAACACCATCATAATCATCATCATAATCATCAGCAGCATCATCATCATCAGTATCATCATCAGCAGCAGCGTCATCATCATCATCATCAGCATCATCATCATCACCATCACCATCATCACCATCATCATCATCAGCATCATCATCACCATGACCATCACCATCACCATCACCAGCATCATCATCATCAGCATCATCAACAACATCAACATCATCATCAGCATCACCACCACCACCACCATCATCATCAGCAGCAGCATCATGATCATCATCATCATCATCATCGTCATCATCATCATCAGCATCATCGTCATCATCAGCACCATCATCATCAGCATCAGTATCAGCATCATCCGCCCCCTCCTCCTCCTCCTCCTCCACCTCTTCCTCGTCCTCCTCCTCCTCCTCCTCCGCCGCCTCCGCCTCCGCCTCCGCCTCCTCCTCCGCCTCCGCCTCCGCCTCCTCCTCCTCCGCTTCTGCCTCCTCCTCCGCCTTCTCCTCCTCCTCCTTCTCCTCCTCCTCCTTCTCCGCCTCTTCTTCCTCCTCCTCCTCCTCCTCCTCCTCCTCCTCCTCCTCCTCCTCCTCCTCCTCCTCCTCCTCCCCCTCGTGTCGTTCCGAAGTTCCTTGGGAACGTCCTCATGGCTCCTCGGCGGCGTGCTGCCCAGCCCACTTCTGTCATCCCGAGCCCGGGGGCACCCGCACAGGCCGCTCCCCGCGCCCCAGCGGCTTGCCGCCGCTGGTCGCGGAGCTGTCCCCCGCGTCGGCGTCGCAAACCGCGGCGGTCTCCTGAGAATTGCGCGCGCGACACCGCGGGGGCGCGCGGAAGGCGCGCAGCGCCGGCCCGACGACGCCGAAAACGGTGGCGATGGCGACGCCGGCGCCGACGCCGACGCCGGCGACGGCGACGGCGCCCCCCCGCCGACGCCGACACTCCGACAACAACGCGACGACGACGACGATGGCGACGGCGACGGCGACGGCGACGGCGACGGCAACGGCGACGGCATCGGCATCGGCGTGGGCGTCGGCGTCGTCGCCGTCGCCCACCCCCCGTGACCGCGCCTGCGCCTTGTCACTCCCTCCGTCTGGTTCGTTGGATACTGCCTCCCCCTCCGACTCCCTCACCCTGAACCACCACTTCCTCCCTCGTCATTATCTTCGTCCTCGTCCTGGTCCTCCTCCTCCTCCTCCTCCTCCTCCTCCTCCTCCTGCTCATCCTCATCCTCATCCTCATCCTCATCCTCATCCTCATCCTCATCCTCATCCTCATCCTCATCCTCATCCTCATCCTCATCCTCATCCTCATCCTCATCCTCATCCTCATCCTCATCCTCATCCTCATCTCTCCTCATCTCCTCATCTCATCATCATCATCATCATCATCATCATCATCATCATCATCATCATCATCATCATCATCATCATCATCATCATCATCATCATCATCATCATCATCATCATCATCATCATCATCATCATCATCATCATCATCATCATCATCATCATCATCATCATCATCATCATCATCATCATCATCATCATCATCATCATCATCATCATCATATCATAAACATCA